TTCTGTTTATTTTTCCTTAATATTATGGCCTTGTCACCACTAGTGTTTTTTCCACTTTACATATCTCTTTAACAATTGTTGATTAACTGAACTCCTCAGTATCTTTTTGTCCAAGATATATACAGTATATGATATACAGCATTAGATCAGGTTTCATATATATAAAATAGGCCAATACATTTTGAATCCAGTTTGTTACTTTGCAAATTTTCCTGGAACACTTTGTACATCAACACCTTGTTCCTTATAAAAAAATTATACTTATCTTGAAGTATCTGATTATATCTAATTTTTAGTTTTTGTTAGGTAACTTCTACTCATACTACTGGATTTTTTTGTTGTTGCAGTATAGTTTTTATCAAATTAAAGATTCATTATAGAAATGTTCCTTTTAATAACTTCTTATACTCAGTGAAGTGTATAAATATTCATGTATTCCTTCTATAGATCAAATAAAATAACATCATATTTATCATTTCCTAACATACTATTTAATATATAAAGAAGACAAATGGTATTACCAGATTCCAATCCATTACATCTCATATTAACTTGGTTATGAATTTGTATAGAATATAATTGAATTGTTCCACTAGCCCATTCATTTATAGATAATATAGCATGGAATATAGATAATTTATACAAAACTTCTCTAGAAATATATTTGGTATTTTATTCTTAAAATTTGTCTTTTGGTTAAATAGCAAGTAAGTAAGACAGTTGTGCTGACACACTATGTTGTTGTAAATAAAGTTGATAACTTTTTGAGCTGTTGTCTCTTTTAAAGCATGGGCTTTTGGTCACTTTGTCATATAGTCTGTAGTCACCACTATATATCTATTCTTTCTGGAGGTAATAGGCAAGAATCTTATGATATCCATCTTCAGCTTTGAGAATAATTTTCTAATTAATATGGGATATAAATATTTGTCCTGCCTGCTTTTTTTTCTTCATTAACATTGATTGCACAAATACATTTACATTTATATATTCTTATACAGTAGCAGCCAATAATACAAGTTGTGAATCTTATAAAATATGACATTTTTCCCTAGATGTTTATTAAGAAAATGGTTATGTGTTAGGTATAAGATCAGTCTCAACTCTTATTGTTGTAGCACCTTTAATAAGTTTAATAATTGGTGCTTGTTTTTCTTATAAACTTTCATTTCTTTCATTATAAAAAAGCTACTCTGTGTCCATATTCTTCTGACCTGTTGTTGGAAACATCCTATCAATAGCCATTTTTTTTGTAGGTATCTTCTTAACTATATATATTGTTTTTCATTTATTATGTTAGAAATTTTTTTTTTGTGGATTCTAAGTTTTATTCTTCTCTGTTTGTCAAGACATCAGAATATACATGTGGCATAAATTATTTTGCTGTTGACTCAATTCCCAAAATCCTCAAAAATAATTGTATCATGACTCAATTATTTATATGTTTTAATAGTGACTCAATTAATTGTGTCAAATAATTGCGTCAATTGCGTCAAGGTTCTATGAATTTCAGCAACATGTATATATCAGAACCTGGACTGAATTCTATTTTTCAGATTTTTTTTATTGTTGTCAATTCTATGATAGTTGCTGTCTCTTTACTTTATTATTGTTATTACTTTTTTTTTTACTATTAAGGTGAGACATGTCTTATGATCTTTGTTAATATGTAATTATTATTATTACATGGTTAATTTTTAAGATATGAGATATATGGACAAAGTAAAACTATATACATATTAGTCTATCATCTATTATAGTAGATAATTTCTAATAAAAAAACCCTTGAGCAGGAAAGAGTTAAGAAAAGAACTATTTACATATGAGGACAAAATAAATTATATATATATAAATTTGAAGAACAAGATTGCCATAGTGTGAGTGAAGGAATGTGGAGATATTGAAAGTTGGAGGTTGAAAATTTTTGATGTGAAGTTACTATATATGTTAATTTGAAGTCAGAGTTAATTACTTCTTAAAATCCACATATAGTTAAGAAATTAAAAATAAAAATTATTAAAGTGATAGTAGTAAGTATTGAGTTTTGAATGTAATTATCTTTTGTGTTAACAATTCTTCTCGCAAGGCATAAACCAAATGTGTCTACCTAGGTTACTGCTTCCTTTTCGATAGCTGGACATAACTCCAGCAGCAATAGAGAAGTACTGGCTTAAGCTTCCAGATTATAGAACACAACTATTGAGTATTTCACTTCCACTTGCAATAAAAGTATTTTATTTTTATTCATATTAGTTAGGTTTAGGCTGCCTTTTTTCTTTAATGGTAGTATTGCTTCTTATGGATTACAACTCCATTGTTTACAATAATTGTAGAAAGTTATGTGATTTGTGGGTTAGTAGTATAGTTGAGATAATAGTAAGTTGAGTATAGAGCCTGCTTCAATTTTGTTATATTATTTGGTACTTGTTTAATTGAAAATTACTGGAATCCACACAGGGCACTGTTATATGCTTTTCCAATCCAGTATATTGTTAGTTAATTGTAATTGTTGTTGTTATTATTATTAGTATGTAAGTATTTTGATAAAGAAACTGGTTGAAAAACAGGTTTGAACAGGTTTGATTTTGTTGTTAAAAATGTGAAAAGATTTGATTGATTATTTGTTAAGTGTTGATCTTTTGATGAGATAGAACTGAAATAGTTTTTGAGATGAGAATTTTTTTTTTTAAGATGGTGATAAAATAAGAAAGTGATATGTATTGTTGTTTTTAATAAAAAAAAAAGAATAAAAAATAAAAAGAGAAATTTGTAAAGATTGTGTTAAGACAAATATTAGATTCAGTAACTTTGTTTGAATATGTAGTTGAAGATATATTTGTGATATAGAGAGAAATAGGAAAAGAAAGGAAAGCAATTATAATGGTCATATTGAAGGGAAGATTTTTAAAGACAAAAATTATGAAGGAAAAATGTCACAGGTCTTTTTTCATGCAATCAAGAGCTAAAAAAGACTTCCAACTTGCTTAGGTCTTGACCAAAGGTTCTATTTTACTGTAACAATGTTTCTTGAGTTTTTAAGCCCTTTGTTTAAAGCTTAGTTATCTTAAGAAAGTAAATAAAAAAAAGTGCTTCTTGGAAAAAGATTTTCTAAAAAGGAAATTTTTAAAAAATCAGTGGTGAACAGATGAGAGTTTTTTTATTATTATTGCTATTACTATTAATTCATTAGTTAAATTATTATTATGATTGTTTTTAATGATTGCACTCTAATAAATGATAATTAATGTTGTTGTTTATATTATATTGATAAAGTAAATCTTTAAACTGTTTAAATAAATTGGATTCTTGGTCTTGTTTTTCAGCCTCCCTATTGTTTATATTATTCTTTTTTTTTTTGAATAGGTAAACACCATTTCTTTATTTATTTGTATATTACAAGGTATACATTTGGAAAGAAACAACATCTCTTACGTGCGATTAGCAGTAAGTTTAATGCTAGCCTGCCTACAGTAATCATTTAACTTCTACTAGAAAAGACATTTTAAAACTAGTATACTAATCAAATGATGCCAAGCAGCTATGTATGCCTACTCAGAGTTATTTTGAGAAATAAACTTGTGGTGGTTTGAAATAAGATTAGAAATACATAATGAAAAATTAAAGTTGTTTTGGATAAATGTTTCTGCAACTAATGTAAGGAGATCAATTGTTGTAACACTGTTTTGAGAATTTGAGCTATTGTCAATGTGAGGGGTGGAGTTGGCTTTTGAAGTGCTTGCTTTAGAGTTGGGGTTGTTGTTATTGGCTTTGTTGTTCTTTGTATTGTTTTTTTTAAGTGTTTCATTCTATTTGATGCCTGTGGAAGGTGAAGTATTTGCTGTGATTGTTTATACTATTCTTTTGTTTCTTCTTGTCAATTAAACATAATAAAGTATCAGTGTTCAAATATTTTCTTCCCTTATGGCACACTATTGTATAATGGTACAGCTAAGGTTAAAGGATTTATTATGTTCTTCTGTTCTTTAGCTTGAAGGTTTTCAGCTATTTCAGTATGAAATAGTCAATTATCATTATAAATGATTTCATGCTAAAGTAGTGATAGAAATACCCAATTTTCCATATCACTACTAAACACTTCTACTTTGTCACATATAGTTTCTCTTGGCCTTTGTCAAACTCTTATTGACATATGTAATTGCATACTTTCTCTTCATGTTATTAACTTGTATTAACACAGCTTTCAACTTTGTTCCAGATGCATTAGTATATAAATAGAACAATTTTTTGAAGTTTGAATATCAAAAGATTGGATCTGTTATTAAATAAATCTTCAATTACTCAAATACCAATTGTTATTTATCTGTCCACTCATACTAGACATTTTTCTCAAGTAATTAATACAATTATAGCAAACCTGTTAATAAATCTCTGATAGTAAGAGACTAGTTCAATAAAGCTTTATAACTGTTTTATATTCCCTGGTACTGAAAGTTCTTTACTTTTATTATCTTGACTTTGTCTATTCAGATGCTATTTTTTATAATATGGCCTAAAAATCCTATGTTTAATAAGAAAAACTTATATTTTTCTGTTGTAACTTTTCAAAAACACAAGCCAAATAACTTATGTGTTTTGAAAATATTTGCAAATATACAATAATATTGTCAAGGTAAATGGCTACAAATTTGTCAATATAATTATAGAGTATCTTGTTCATCAGTCTTTGAAACATAGCTAGAGCATTATACAATCCAAATAACATTACTTGAAATTTGTACATTTCAAATTTTATTACAAAGGCTATTTTTTTATGATCTCTCTTCTGAACCTATACTTGCCAGTATCTACTAGTAAGATTGAGGTTTAAAAACTACTTTGCTTCCTGAGAATTTCAATTAAGTCATTGATTTTTGGTAAAGGATATGCATTCTTTCTAGTTATCACATTTAACTTTTAATAATTTATACATAGGCACTTCTTACTATTCTTTTTTGGCATTAATACAATTGGCAATGTCTATAGGCTTTTTAATTCTAAGATTAGGCCCTGATTTCTTATTTTCATCAGTTCTCCTTTTACATATTTGTGTTTGTTTGATGCCAACCTATAGGGCTCTTGTTTGATCAGTTTAATATCACTTATGTCAATTTTGTATTGGATCATGTCAGTTTGAATAAGTTTGCTTAGTTCTTTAGCATACAATCTCTTTTTTTTTTCAAGAAATTTTGTTATACTCTCTTGTTCTTCTTTCATTAAGTCCTTTAAATCTATTCTTGGCTTCTTGTTAGCAAATTTCTTGTCATTCTTCAATATCAGTACATCCTTCAAAACAGTTAGATATATATTAAGCTTAGAATTTCTTTATCAAATATCTCTTTCTTTTTGAATTGTTCTTTTATATAATACACTTTCTTCTTTTTTGCTTCCTTACTCTCATATTCCAATTTGTTAAAAGTGTCTCCACTCCTGTTACCACTCATATCTGATCTGTTATGTTACACTAACCTCTCAATACTATTGTATTAAATAGGCATCTTCAGTTCTTTTCCTTGATATTTCAACAGTATCTTTTGTTTATTAAAATAGATCCTGGTATTTTCTTGTTGAAATCAATTAGTTTTGAGCAAAAATGTTTTATATTTAAAATTAATGACTCTGGTGTTGTGGAAATAATTATTTCTTGCATTGTTATATCTATTTTTCTTACTTTCTCTAAGATTTTTTCTCTTGTTCTGTTTGTAATAACAATAATGAACATTGATTCTCATTGATCTTTAGATAAAGCTTGTCTAATAATTTCTTTGTAACTATTGTTACATTTGATTTTTACCTAAGCTTTTCATTTATTCTTATTCAATTTTCATTAGCATTTACTTTTGAAATATTGTCTATTCTCAAATAATTCTTGTATTACTATTTCTGACTTATACCTTATAATACTTGAGAGAATTTTTTCTCAAAAGAAGTGTGGAAATTTGACCAGAATTTTTAATACCAATGCAGATCAATTTATCACTCTGTATTTTAATTAGTTACTTTGCTTGTAGTAATTTCTTTTATTATATAACAATAGATTTCTTCTTACTTAATTAAATTCTATTAAGAAAAACAATCTTTATTGTGCAAGTATAACCTGTTACAAAATCTATCTTATCTATTTTTTTTTTTTTGAAGGAGCAAATGGCTATCACGCTATCGTTTATTATTATAATTTTAAACTTGCGGGTTACAAGATTTACAATATGTGAAGCATGACATACATCTCTTTTTGCTAGGAAGAGTTAAATGCAGGACCTGTAAAGGCCACCCCTACGCTCCTTGGCACCATTCAAGGAATACAGTAAAAAAGAATATTTAAAACCTATATTATGGCCTTAAATGGTGTCTTATAATATGTAAATATAAATATATGTAGTTTATTATTATTAAAATAAATTAAAGATCTCTGGAGATTAATATATAAATTTTCACTCTGGAGTCTTTTAATAATAATGGAGATCTTCCAGAAGTCTATACTAAAGATCTTTGAAGATTTTTGCCTAAAAAATTTTCTGATGTTATTCAAATTTGTTCTGATATGAGATCTTGCTTATTTGTTTAAACAAGAGATATACTATATTCTCTTATAAGTTGCTTAGTTCTTCTTATACTTGATAATCAAATTTTATGAGGAAGCTGATATTATTAATAAGATTTGTGAGATCCAAAGATTCCATTAATATATTATTGTTGGAGCAGAGACTGGTAGATCTAATTGTACTTTCAGATTTGTTACTTATATTATGCTACTTTGATTATACATATTATTGGTATTTGGTATTTATTTGGTATTGTGTGACCTGTTATGTTAATTACTTTTGCATGTTTCTGGATTGCAAGGGGTATATATTATTAGGCCAGAAAACGGTAAGTCAATCTCTTTATCAGTCCAAAGGTAGGGTTATTAAAGATATATTGAGGTGTATAAGATTAATTTAACCAAAGCTTTTGTTATTAACAAGCTTCTCTCTTCTTTTCTGACACTAGCTCTTCTCTTGATAATTCCAGACTATATTCTATAGTAGCGATTATCCTTTCCTAGATGGTGCGTACTTAAAAAGGTAAGTTATTAATTACAATATTCCTTATATGGCACTTCAATTTTACTAATCGCTATGTTTATTAATTGTACTATTGTTTTATCTCTATCTTAACTATCTCTTGAACTAACTCAACTGCTGTTCACTTTACAATCGTATAGCTATTTATATCGTTGCTACTAAGGATCCTAATGATTCTCTTCGATTCTGTATTCAATTCTCAAGTTTATATTAAATTTAATAGGTGGAGTATACCCCACTATCATTTTTAATAGTATTCCAAACCTCATGTGATTCTGTTTAATTCTATTTGATTCCAATTTTTGGAACCATAGTTGCTACTACTAAAAACAATTAGAGAAAATAGACTATCGGAGCTAAAACAAACTATGAATAAGTTATATAAGTTTCGATAACTACATTTCCTATGCTAATTATTAATGCTATTTTATATTTCCAGGATACATGATACAGTAGTCATGGTACATAACTATACCATATGACTTTTATAGGGCTAACAATATGTATTGCTATTAATTTTTGCCATTTTAGGATTGCTTATGTTTTATAGATCAATAAGAAGGGGTAAGCTGCTTGAAGATTTTTTGGAATTTGAAATAATAGCTTTTTTCCTTTAGAATTTTTAGTAAAGTTTTGTTTAGTAATTATCAATTTCTCATTCTGAACTGATGTGTTAAGTAATATATAAGTTGATGTATTTTGAATTTTTTCTAAATTAAATTTTTTATTACTTTTAATAATATTAATTTGATTTCAGGAAAGGTGAAGAGTGTAATTAAAATTATTGTCTAGGATTTTTTTTGCAATGGTTTCTTTTATGCTTAGAGCAAGGTTATTTCTTTTCTGATATTGAAAAAAATTATTGAGATTGTTTTGGGTATTACTTTTGTAATTATTGATTGTTATTGAAGCTATTGTATATAATTAAAGAGAGATGAAGTCAGTTGTTACTTGTTTGAAATTGATAAATACAGTATTTACTTATAAGAAGTTACTGTTACTTAGGTTTTATAAAAGAACAATCCAAAATTTGGAAAAATTGATTAAAGATAGAATAGATATATTTTTTGTTGGTTCAATAATTTGAATGTTATTTGAGTTGCTTTCCATATATATTATAAAGAAAAGATAATCATTAAGGTTTGTTATTATGATGTTCAAAAGAATATGAGATAAGCTTGATAGTTTGTCCTTGGAAAAGGAGCTTCCAAGAGTACCTTTTGTTTTGTTTTTCCTAATAATTTTGCCAGTTACTAAAAAAAAGACATTTTTAAGTAATGCAAGATTTTTGAAAGAGGGTTTTTTTTTATAATTAAAAAAATTTTATATTATATTATAAAGAAAAAAATTTATAAAGCAAATAATAAATATAATTAAAAAATATTTAAGTAAAAATTTACAAAAACTATGAAGGTGATCTGCAGGTTTTGATCCTATTATAAGTTTGAGATCTTAATCCCATTCTTTAAGGAAACAATATATTACCTCCATAAATTACATTTAAAGGTTTTGACTAAAGATGTATAAGTTGAGTTGAGGAAATTTATACTTTGCATATATTCTCATGCATGTAATAGTTTTTTGTGATTTAATAAATAAATGACACCAACCTGATTGTAGGATTAAAAAAAAAAAAAGTAAAAATTTACAAAAAAGATTATTATTATTATTATTTAAAGACTATTAATAAAACTATAAAATAAATAATAAAACAAGTATAAATATTTTATATAATAAAAAAATAATAATATTTAAAATAATAATAATAATAATAATAATAATAGATAATAAAAAACAATATATAAAAAAATATATTTATTTTAAACTAAACAAAATTATAAATTATAATAACTACAACTGGATTAATTAAAATATATAGAGAGTACCCATATTATTGTGAACACTTTTTATTATACAATAAAAAATTTTTTTAATAAAAAAAAATAATTTTATTATAACAAAATTAAAATTATATATTATAAAGCATATTATATAAAAACTCTCTCCTTATCGCGTCTGTTTTGTTAAAAATTTTCCTTTTATGGTAATTTTAAGCAAGGAAAAATGTTTTACTCTCTTTATCACAAGTGAGCCC